CAGCAGCGAAAGAAGCAGTAGTGCTTTGCCAACTGAACACAAGATTCGGAACTGGTAAAATCCCCAGGATTCAAACATAAACTATATCTCAGATCTGAACACTTCAGTGGGTGATGTCGAGGCAATGATGGGATCCCTCCTAGGGAGAGAAATGCAGGAGGAAAGTCCCTCTGACTTTATGAAAATGTCCAGGGCTTCAGAAAAGGGAGCATTCATCCCTGGGGAATTAGATGATAGTGCTTTAAAAAGCAGTTTAAATCTGTATGATTAAAATTCTCAAAGAAATAATGGAAGGAAAAATATCATGAGGTAGGAGTGGAAGTTTATAAAAGCAGAACAGACAGATTTAAATACAGTTGGAATTATTGGAATGGAAAATATCATCATGAACATTTTTTTAAAAATCTGAACAGATTGAATAAAAAATAAACTGGAATTACAGAAAGGAAGAAATAGTTAAAATGATCTCTCTCTTTCATTGAACACTTATTCTAATAATACAGAACTTCCCTGGGGAAAGAAAATAGTCATATAGCACCGGGGAGAGTCATGTGGCATGGGACAGTTGGTAATCTGAATAGGGTGATGGCTAGTACAGATCTTATAACACCTTAAAAGAAACCCATTGGAGAAACGTTTATTTGAGAATTTATAATTTGCTTTAGAATCTAGAAAGTTAATATGACGCATATGCTATAAATGAGATAACATTCCCTGCTGGGTGTGGGGCAAAATCACATAACCAAACACATTAATATTTATCTGTATCACAATGTGTGAAATGTTTCAATAAAATGATAAGTGAAGACTCTATATGGCTTACGGTCAATTCTGACAAAAGAGTTTATACCCTCCGTTTTCAGAGCTTTCTGGATTTCAGAATTGTCAAGCAATCACCATGGACCTAAAACACGAGTGCACGGTGGCGTTGAAGTTATAAGGAGTTACAATATATATAAGGAGTGAGCTTGTGTTGGGACACGTGCTCTAGCAATGTGAGCCAAAGAAATGAAGACCGCCGACCAGGCCAGGAGCAACTGGGACCAGCCACAAACAACAGCAAGGAGACCAGGGCCTCAAAGGGGGACAAAACAGATACATGAAGTCCTGGACAGGAAGCTCAAGAGCAACAGGAGGCCATGAGAGGTGAGGCATGCTTGAGGAAGGAGGAAATGGAATGGCAGATGGATTCCAAGGGGAGATGACCAGACAGAGACTAACAATCAAAGCAGAGTAGGTATAGGAATTAGGGGGCTTGAGATATGGAAAGCAGAAAGCTTGAGCTGGAGAAGATAAGAGCTCCAAGAACAAGAGAGTTGAAAAGTGGAGGCAGCAAGATGAGAGAGAAGGTTTCAGAGGCCAGGAAGCTTGGAGGAGACCACAGTGAGAGGCTGAGATGGAGAAATGAGAGCAAGAGAGGCTGCACAGGCATCTGAGATGGGTGTGTGCAGAGGTGAGGAGAAGAGGGGGTAAATGTGATGGGAGGCGAATCTAAGCAAGGGTCCCCTGTGGGACTGCAGGGGATGGGGTGGGGGGGCACTTTTGGGAAAGAGAGAGGTGTAAACAATCCAGAGGTAAGGACAGAAGCCAGAAGAGTGGAGAGAAGGAGCAGCATAAGACAAGCAGTCTACCATTTTATCAATAAAGCCAATTCCTCCTTTGAAATTGCTTTCTAATCTTATGATGTTCAAAAATTTATTTAGTCACAGGAGCATAAATAAATCAGTTTACTTTGATTGGAAGACACTCTTCTGAAGTATTTAACATGGTTGAAATTATTGCAAATTTAATTTTTTTCTGTACATACTCAATGACTGGAAGTATGGAGTGAGAAATTGATGGGTGTGAATAAAGCATAGAAGACAGGTATTCTTTTCATTTTCAGATAATTCATGTAAAACAAGCACATTTATTTTTTCTGATGAATGTTAAATTATATATTAACCAAACAAATAAAAAGTAAACCAAGCCACTTTGGGTTCTTAAATACTATACATGTATATAGAAATATATATATAGTATAAATATATGTATAAATATAAATACTAATATATATAAGTATATTTATATATAGTATTTAATATGTATTCCAGAAAATGATGTGCATTTATCATTATATAATTATGTACACAAAAGCTATTCTTAGTTAACTGAATTTTATTCAGGCCACAGTTTTCTAGGATAAAAGAGTACCATTTTTCAATACTAACTTATTTGAAGGCATACCAAATTTTTCCTCTAAAATCCAGGTGACAGCCAATTTTGTTAGTTCTAGTAAGAGTCCTTAAAACTCCTAACATATCTGGTCATATTTGTTTGTAATAAGATGAACAAATGAATAACGTCTGGTTCAGGGTGTATTTACTTAGTGCCTTTAGAGAGAACATATCTCAAATAGTTTTCCCTTCTGGGTTTCCGATATTTTCCCTCTTGGCTCACAGTGGGCTCCTTTCAGCCTTCAAGCAGGTGAGTTTCTTTTTCATTAGTGGTGCCTCGTTAGCCTCTCTGTATGACTGGCCTGCGGTATAATTGATTTTCACAGCTCCCAGCAGCATGATGTAATTGTGTGAAATTAAAATTTAGTTGAAAACCTTTTCTGAAGTCACAGCAACCAATCAGAAGTGACATTACTTGGAAACAGAAGCCTCCAAGCTGAGCTTTGAACTTGTCCACTAGGGGGCAGTCAAATACTGCTCACTTCGAAATACTGTTCGGGGCCCCATTTTCTCTGACTCCATATTTTGAAGGTTAGCAAGTTATTTGAGTAAGTAGCAACTGGTAGTTACCGAGTAGCATTCTAGGCATTCATGCTACTAATTTCCCATAGAAGCCCGTATTTTATGGTTGGTAATATTGTCCATAATTAGTCCACAAAAAACTTTTTATGGGGAGGAGATGGTTTGAGTCTGGTTAATAAGGATACCCAGTGAATAAATTGATAAAATACATGTACGAAGTTATAAGAGGATATGTTATCTTTACTTAACAGTTAATGTCTGTAGCTTAAGTTAGTCAGTATCATTCATCCCTTAGGCATTCAAGGGTGATCCTAGCCAGAAGAGAAAAGGTAATAGCAAAATGTCTACATTTTCCTTTTGTTAAGCTGTGGCCTAAGAATCTATCGCAAATATTTAAGTAAATTTAAGAAGCAGTCTGTGCTCTTACATAATTCTGAATGACTTTTCTTTATTATAGCCTAACTGCTTTAACAATCTATAATTTTATTGTGAAAAAGAAGGTTCACTAATTATGTAACAAGTGATTATTATTTTTATAAAAAGGAGTAAGATATCAAAGCATTAGTATGTCTAACTTTGAAAATAAATAAGTTTAAATATAAAGGGTTAAATTGGCAATCAAAAGTAATGTAAAATCAGAAAATGAAAATTTCCAGGGAATTACAATTGAAATATTTATCAGGGTGGTACTACGGATCTCAAATACAGCACATACTTAGAAATAAAACCCAAAATCATCTGTTTAAAATTTCTTTCCTTCTTTTTTTTAAAGAATACCATTACATTGTGGTCAACCTTAAAACATTATTTCAGGAATAGATGTTTTTCATCTCAAAGATTTTGTTTTTCAAAATCAATTAAATGCATTACCACAAGCAAAAGCAGTACTATAGTAAAATTGGTTAACTATAGTTGCAATCCCTGTACAGTTAAGAATTAAGGGTACAGATGACCTCTGTAGTGTTTTGGATCCAAGAACTTACTTCTTAACTTCTATTCTTAAAAATCATACTAAATTGAATATTACAAATGTGCATAAGATATGAACCAAAGGAAGACCTTAAATCAAAGAAATGGACTGCTTTCTACAACTGTATTTCATGTCAAGTGAGTTCATATATTTTTTCTCTTTAAGAAACACGTAAGATCACACTTAAATGATAACTTATATTTTCATATAAATTTAAATTCCAGAATAAAAATCATGCTAAGTGTATTAAAATAATATTTTAAAATAATTTCAAACAAAATTTTAGTATTTTAAATTCAAAGTAAATTTAATATTTAAAAAATCTTTTATTACAAGTTTGTAAATAACTGCTCATAAGTACTGCATTTTATTTCGAGATTAAAAATGTTCAGTTGAGTTCATTTTTGAGTTTATTAAAAACCTATAACAAATTTCTCAGAAAATAAAAATAATTTCAAATTCTAACCTTTATTCTCAGAGTTTTATCAAAATTCTTTAAGAAAAACTATGAACTTAAACAGATATTTTGAATAATAATAGTAATAAACCTCACATGCCTTGGGTCTTATATATAGATATAAGTGTACAAGCTTATAACAAAACAAGTCTATATTTTTCCTTAAAACTATGTGAAGATTAATTTTTTTTCCTTAATTTTACAAGAAAAATGTCACTAACTTGAAAATTACCAGCTTGGCTGAAATAAAAATCTTTAAAAATTAAGAATAGTAAAGAGAATTATCTAAATAGGTATACTTTTGTACATTTTTAATGATTTTATTTTATATAGGTTGGTCCTTATGGAGAGCTTCTGATTTTTAGATTTATCTGTGGCTTTCTTTTTTCTTTTTCTTTTTTTTTTTTTTTTTTGCAGTTCCCAGTTTAACTATGTTAACAACGAAACATAGCAACTAACAGTTACATACATATTATGAAGCTATTTCAACAGGTTGAAGTTTCATAAGGCAACATTTAATTTATTCATTTGTCATACTTTTGTTACAAATACTAAAAATTGTTTTCTCCATTATGATTGACATGTTCAACATTGTTTTTTAAAGATGTTTTATCTACGATTTTAGTAACACATAAAAGCAAGTTTCTATGAAAAATTTGTTGCTAGGATGGGACTATAAGCAATTAGTGATCATGACAATGATGGTGTAAACTAGATGTCTGTTTCTCAAACACTGCATTGAGTCTATTATAAATATGTTAGAACTAAATAGAAATATTCTATTTCCTATTCTTTTGGAATTGTACTCATTTAAGCGAGAAAGTAGAAGCCTTACCTTTGATATCTATCAGGATGATGAAATGAAGTAGAAGGAACATTGCAATCAGTCTGAGGCTGAAGAGATGTTTAATACCAGAAAAATAACAATAGGTTTACAGCAATTGAAGTATTGGATGTATCCTCCTTATACCTCGGAAGGAGTTCTGATATAGTAACTTCTGTCCTCCCATGTGTCTGAGCATGCTCACAGCTAGAACCTTACTGGCATGAGGGGAGACAATCTTGTCACTAGCAGCCTATCTTTTTCACTCTTTCTTTTCTGTTTCATTTTATTTTAAACCTACAGTTGTATTCTTGGTCGTTATTTCATTATAGGATGGACAGAGAGGCACAAAGAAGACTTTGGAATTATTAGATAGGAAACATTTTATTTAAATCATGTAAGAATTGTTTCCCCTCAAAGCATGTAGTGCAATTTGCTCTTACTTAAAATCCAAACATACACAGTTCTTACATACGAAGGGATATAGATTTTCACTGAATAGGTGATGAAACTACGAGCATGTTTTTTAACGCAAGAAACAAATGGCAAAAAGCTACTTACTGACAAATACACAGAGAATACCTATGCAAGTGTACTTAAATGTTTTCAAATAATATACAGAAAGATAGTAATAATGAAAATATATAGCCTTGGGTTTAATAGTCACTGTAAAACATTTGCACAATATTTTAAACATTTACTTCCTCTATAACCATATTCCTTTTTTGAAGTGGATAATATTATTCTTGCCTTCAATTCTTGTTGAACGCCTATTAGAAAACATTAATTACAGCTTAGTCCTTACATCCTGAGAGAGGCTTCTAACACAGCAGAGTTAGTGCAAGTATAGGAGGGGAATTTTGTTCGATTCTAACATGATCAGAAAGACTTCTACAAAAGTTTGTTGTAGAATTTTATTCTCAGAGTATATGTTTTACTAACTGAGAAATGCCTACGTAGACATACAAAACAGTTTGTAGTCTTGATTTGGACAGAGGATTTTGTAGGTGAATGATACGGATTCTCTTGCATATTATAAATCGTGTTGTTAATGATACTGTTTGAAAAACTATCCTTTGATGACTGGATATTGCTGTCACAAATCATAAGACAAGGGGTTTTCATCATTCTTTCTTTCATTCCAGCCTTTGATAGAATAAGGATTCAAAAGGAATTTGAAAGAGAAAATATTTTATTGATCACCTAATGTATTATTTCTTTCTCTTTTAAGAAGTGAGCTAAATTCTCCAGATACATTTAGATGTGTTTTCTCCTTTTTCAAACCAGGAAAGCAACAAAGGAATCAAGTATAAGATGAGAAGAAAAAATTCAAAATCTTTTCTTACATTTCAGGCACCTTTTTCCTTCACTAGCCCTGGAGTCTTTTCAAATAAAAATTAACTTACTTCGCTTTAAAAAAAATCAGGGTGATCAGTTTTTCTTATATTTTGTGTTTTGCTGTCAAGTGGATGGATGCTGGTTTCTGGTACTGAAATATTGAGCATGAATTTTTAAGTGTAAGAAAATGCCACGAATTGCCCATCACAAATCTATTTGGAGTTTAAGTATATAGTTCATGAAAATACAATTTTTAGAGAAAGAAGAAATGTCAAGATTTCAAAGAATTTACTAGGCTCCTTCATGAATACTAAGCCTTGGAAATAGATTTAAATTGCTAAAAAGTTGAACCACCAGCCCTTCGTGTTAGGCTTTCAGAGCTAATCTTTGAAATATTAACACACACACAAAATTCAGAACTCAGTAATTACAAATAATAGTTAAGAACATCTCTGGTTCATTACTGATTTCTAAAGGCAGAAAAGGGCAAGTATGGAAACATTTTTCATTTAACATGTTATAACTTTGATTTATCTAGTGTGAACATTCAGCCTTTTGAACTGAAACTGAAATGGTTGAAATGTGCGCAAGATATAATGTATGTGTTTTAAAAAGGGTAAATGAATTTACTCTTGAAGACACCTCTGGGGAGGAAGTTCCAGAGAGGGCTGCCCACAGAGCTGAGAACAGACGTGCAAACTGATTCATCCCAGGATATTAACTTCGAATTTGCACAAGTGTGCTTTATTGATCCTTGTCTGAATCTAATCATTTCTTTATGCCAGTCCCTGATGGGTAGCACCCATGCTTTTAGGGATAACAGTAAAAGTTCATGTAAATATGTATTTACTATGTAGAACAATTCAGTATTATTCTGCATAGTTGAAGGGAGTTTATTTACAGAAAGCACAGATTATCTAGTTCTGTCAGGGGTAGAGGTGGGTTGGGGCATTTTCCTAGTTTCCACTGTAACTGTTAATCTTGTTTTAGACACCATTGTTACACATAAAGCTCCGAGCTCCAGGACATAATTTATTTAAATATTGCCAGAAAACCCTGATTTTGACACATTCTTAGAATTATGTGATAATTTTTCATATATGCTATAATTCATTATCTTGCCAAACTAATGTTTTCATCAAGATGTTTCCTAAACATTCACTGTGCTTAATGCCAGTATGGGCTTGAAACACCTCTCGCTTCTACAAATTATTTTGCTTTTTATTCACAAAACCTTAACCATTCGCTATTTACTAAAATTTTTGGTTTGGGGGGAAAAGGACAGAGTGATATTCAATGAATGAGTTATAGTAATAGATAAGATTTGTTCTCAAAATAAGTAAATTATAAAATAGTAAATATCAGAATTCCAAGTTTATGACAGCGGGCCAACAATGGCAATGTTCACTTGCGTAGTCTACCTACCATAAATAAAGTTATAGTAAAGCCTTAATAATTCAGCCGTATTAGCCAAGTATTTGTGATAATTATTGTTAGCCTTTCTTCATGAGATTACGTCACTAATTTATCATTCAGTAAGTGATATTTTGAGTAACCTTTCCAGCAGGGGTAACAGATCTATATGCACCCTATTGTCAGAGCAAATGGGACTGAATCTTATGTAGTCAAATGTTCTACCACTGAGCTATACCCTCGGACTGAATCCTATGATCTCATTAGCATAAGCTGTCAGTCAGTTAAACAAACCAGTCCTGATACAGGGCCCATTTTGAGCGAGAGAGTCTGAGTTAAGCCTTCTAACTCTGATGTTCTGTTTAAAATAATTTAAGTCATGCTCCATTTATCTGGGAATCTCAACTCTTGGCAAGCGCAGCTTTTAGGAGCATAGCTATAAACCCAGAGTAAAAAATATCACCAAGACATCCACTACTAACAGTGTGGTAGATTAGATATTCTGAAAGGTCTTCTTGCTCGAAAATAATAGCTACTGCATAAAACATTTTTTACTGCATTTCTGAAGTCTTTGAAATGAGGGGAATTAAATAGAAGAGGAAAAGAGAAGACAAAACAAAACCAAAATGCTGAAATGGCAATGAAGAACAGTAAACAAAAGGAAAGGGCAAGGTGCACCTACAAACGGATGTGGATATCAGTGCTGCAACTTTTAGACCAACCCTTGAGTCAGTGGCAAGTTCTGAGGCTGCATGTCTGTCTCCTAAGAGGACACAGCTGAGCACTGTTAGCACCATTCAAAACAAACAAGAACCCTGTAGGAAATCTCATTTAGAGTCTTAGGATTCACCCAGACTAACATCAGCCAAACATTAGCTCATTATCAAAGATCAACTGAGTGCACTTGGGTGAAAGTCAGCAGAAAAAGAAGCGATAGATTTAAAACCCCAGCAGTTTCAAATATTGAAATGATCAGTTACAGAATATAAAATGTTCAAAGACAGAGACATATGGAATCACAAACATGAGTAAGAAATAAAAAACCATTCAAAAGAAACAAAAGAGAATTTTTAGAAATGACTAGCGTATTATGGAACTTAAGAACTCAAAAGGTAGGTAAAATAGTTGTTAAGACATCATTGGAAAAAAGTTATACATTGGAAAAGGGGGTGAAGAAATTACCCAGAAGGTAGTACAGGCAATGAAAAAATTTAAGAAAGTTAAAGAGATTTGAAGGAAAGCATGAAAAGTTTTAACGTACATGTAATTAGAGTTCCAGAACAAGAGATAATGAGAATGAAGAGAGACAGTATCTGAGGAGATAATGACTGAGAATTTTCTAGAAATGATAAAATATAAAATTTACTAATATAGGAAGATCAATTTCTGGTGGGCAGTACAAATAACAATAAGTCCACTTCTAGACTTTTGGCAATGAAATGGTATAACATCCAATATACAGAGAAGGTTTTAAAAGAAACCAGACAAAGAGTCTACTTGAATGCTAGACTTCTCATCTACAATGATATAAGCCAGAATAAGTAATAACGGCTCTCAAAGTTCTGAGAGAAAATAGCTGGCAATTAAAACGTGTGTATCCAGGAAAACTATGTTTTAAAGGGACTATTAAATAAAGTCAAGTACAGGATATATTAGAAAGGTTAAGTAAGTACCAGAATGAAAGATGGAGATAAGAAGTTCAACGGCATTTCAGGGAAGGGAACAATCGTTTGAGTTGCAGAGACTATTAGGTAAAACTTGAGCTCTGCCCATCTTGAATCATGGATTGAGAGATTAGAAAGTAACATCAACTATTCTCACAGTGATATTAAGACACAGTCCAGGAAGGCTGAAGGGAGAAGGAAGTAAAGCAGATTCTTGTGTTTGTGTAAAACTGAGAGAACAACAGGATGGGTATTCAAAGAGTGTATCAGAGGTATTACGGTACATTATTACTCCTAATTCTTCCACTCCCCGTGAAAGGATTAGACACACCCATTTTCTGTCATGTGATTTGGCAATACTTCTTATAGGTAGTGTGTACTTCTCTGATCCATTGATTTTTTTTCCCTTGGCCATGAGACTGTTTTGACCAATTCAGTGTGGCCAGATACGGCATGTGCCACATTCCAGCAGAAGCTTTAAATGTCTTTGCATTGTGTGGCGTGGCCTTTTGAGTCCCCCTACTCCTTAGCGGGATTGTGAGTGACATGCAGCATGCTTGAACCTGAGTTAAGCTAAGCCCAGAAGAGCGACAGATGACCCACAGACCTGTGAGCAAGGCGTACGTGTGTATTATGGAAAGCCACTAAAATTTTGACTTTATTG